TACTTGACGTTAGCATTGTGCAACTTGTGCGCAAACATTGAATCATTTAGAATCAGTTAGATGTTACATGAACAGTAGGTAAGCGATTGAAAATGAATAGTGAAACTGGAATTTTGCATTGAAAACATACAAAACCGACTGTGCCAATGAAACAAGCTGTAAATAGGCAAAGATTTCAATTCAATATTGGAGACTCATTGAAATTGTCATTATTTAATGCGCTATTGGTTATTGGCTACGCTGTAACAATTTATAGATGTCATGGATAATGGAATATATTATTATATATTATTAAATCAATAATATAGAGAGTGTTTTAATATTTGTATTTACTAATTTTGTATGTTTATATATTTTAGTTTCTTTTTTTAAAATTAAATATTAAACATCCGCAAAATTTTGCAAATTTTTAGCAATATTTGTTTTATTTGCTACGAAGAATTTTGCAAATAATGATGAATAGTGAAAATATTAAAGGAAAGGTACATTACATAGTAATATTGTACACAATCTCTGTGAATAATTATAAGAATAAACAATAATCACCGAGCAATGAGCACACGAGTTGAATGCAAAGCAAGTGACAAACAAAAGGTTAATTAAACCATATTGTTTCATAACAAAACGCATAAAACGACCGGATTGACGATCAAAATGCCACACTGCCTTGAAACATTATTATTGTCATCCAAACAAAAATCTACACTCATGAATATTAATATTATAAATTCATAAAAATATGTTTTCTTCAATTTTCGGGTTATTTATATGATAATAAATAAATTGGTTTGATTTTGAATTATACCTGAAATTTATAATTAAATTTAATATGTATTTAACCATTTAACGTGATTATCGCAATCGCAATCGCAAAAATGTTTACATTGCAAAACGTTCTGATTTCTTGCATTTATTTCTTGAGTCATTCAAGTTTATTGAATTTTATACGATTTGATTGAGTTTTATTGGCTGGAAAGCGCATTATTTTAGTTATCATGCGAAATGTGCAAGATTTAACGATTTTTGAATAATCTTAATTAAAGAAATAGTTTAAGTTGGTGGTGCGTTTAAATAAATAAAAATGCCATTGACTAATAAACATTATTTCATTATTTCTTTGAATTTCAAAATAGAAAACACATATCTACATATCTGCGTGTATTAGCATACACACGAATGTTTTGTGCAATTATTTTAATCATATTGTGATTTTTTCAGTACACTTTGATGTTTCTTTATTTATATTATGACACGTGCTTACCTAATATCTGATGTTTTGAACCTTTTGAGTGTTTAACACAAAGTTTTATAATTGTATATTTATATCATTGTTATCACTTTGTTTACATTTAGTTATATATTATATCTTTTATAATATAATTCTGAACTACTTATTCAGTAGTTTTCGGTGTGAATGACTTGCACTTGATTAAGTTGATAGAACTTCTGATTCGGATACAAACAGAACACTCGACGAACGCACTCGACGCGCGTCTGAACACAATGCGAGAGTCGGCCGGCGATTAGCCGCTTTTAATAAAAGTGCCGCCGCTTCGTGCCCGTGATATTCATACCGCTATTACACACTTACCCACATCCACCAAGCAGCCTGAAATTGTCTTAAATGCTAGACTATCACGCGTGTGAACTACGAGTTAAACAAAGAAGAGAAATTATAAGATACACTGGAAGTGTACAATAAAAAGAACGAGGAGGAAATAACACACCGTTTCTTTTGATTAACATTTGGTATTCGTCGACGTACGTTACGTTGATGAGGTGTGAGCTGCTTTCTCATGGGTAGCAAAAACGGTTGTTTTGGTGTGGGCTACTTTAGAGAAATTAAGAATTTTTGACATTTTTGAAAATAGAAATGCAAAAAACTTGTTTTAATAATTTTGATTTTTAGCTTTAAATAAGAAAAATATCACGTAAACTTGCTTGGTTGTTATTTATATCAAATTACTACATTTTAAAGTTTTTAAAGAGTATATTACCTGCGCGAATTAATTTGCGATTTGCAATTACAAATTGCAATGTATAGCATATAATTACGTGCATTACAAGGCAAATAAAAACAATGGATGAAATTGAAAACTGAATCGTAGCGATCTGGTGATTCAGCGCATTGCATTGATTTATTCGCTTCTTATACACGTTTTTATACGCATTTTGCAGTGTGCATTATGCCTCTGTTATTTTTGCTTTTTTTGGTTTAACAAACAAACACACACAAATTTCATATATGGCTGAATATATATTTTTATTTTATCTACATTCGAACTTATGAAATCCTAGCTAATATTATATACGCTTTCACAAATTTTGACATAGATATATTTTTGACCAAAAAAATTAAAAAGTTTATTTTTTGTCGCTAAAATATATTGTTAATGGTGTAAAATAAGGGCTGAAAGATCATATGGTTATTTAATCATAGTTGCAAACCGAGATGGTGTTAAATTACATTTTTAACATTTCTCCGTTAATTAAAGAATTTTTAATTGAAAGTGATTATCTTATTGATGGATTCGCGAGATAATAGAACAAGAAATAAGAAAGTAATTAGATAGACTGATTTTTATTAAAATTTACGCGGATAAAATGCACATAATACCTATATATTAGCAATGAATAACCTACTACTATAAATTCTAGTATATATTTTGACGTTTAAATTTCATATAATTATAAATTAGTTCTGCATATAAAGTTGCACTTTTAGTATTTACCTACTTCTACTTCTAAAACAATAATTAAAGAAAATAACCTTTGGTTTTAAGCGCCTGCGATTATTTCGCAGTCAACTGTACAATAATTTAAGCAATTTAGGCAAATATGGCAAAGATGGCAAGATGGCATTTTCGTGTTTTCTATTTAGTAATTTTCGTAGCCGCGCAGCTAAATACGACTGTCTGCTTGCGAAATATTACTAAGGTCCGGCTCGGCACATTTCACAAATCGAACGAGACACAGCACCACTCGCAATTGCAAGCAGAGAAGAAGAGTCGTTAATTTTCATTACAACACGATTTCTCGTTCATTGTCATCTCACTCAGCGTCGTTAACATTCATCAGCTATGCAAAGACTATTCGAGGGCTATTCATGTGTGAGTTTAATGAGTACGCAATTAACTATAAACTATTATAAATTTAGAATATAATGGAATGATTATTTCATTGTTTCAATCTTTTTGCGTTTAATTTCAAAACTAAGCAGTTTTGTGTGAAAATCTTATTATTAACTATAATTCACGTGTGACATTTTCTTTTGCTAATAAAATGCACTAATGCCGCCTTTGTCATTTATTAAAACGTTTGCGTTGACATTACGAATGACTGGTTTTCATTTTTATTTCTCTGCATTAGTAGAGATACCGCACACTTCGCTACGTCAAATAGGAATGCAGATTGTTGTTATCCTTCGATTTAGCAAAGTCTCCAGCATTAATGTATTTTCACTTTTTCTTTGCGAGCTGTTTTTATAACTTTGCAAGTACATAACTTTGAATTTATAAAAAGTGCACAAACAAAGTTTCTCAATACTTGCTTAGTGTGATTCGATCAAATCGCTTATTTTTTCCATGTTGACATTTCGTTTAGAAAATTTGTTGGTGAAATGTGTGATGCATCACTCCGGCGCAGCGCAGCGAAGGAAAAATAAGCACAGAAGCTGAAAAATAGGCGAAAAGTTTTTGTTAATTAGCGCGGCGCGTTTTTAACGTTCGGAGCGGGGCGGCTCGTTGTGAGTTACGATAATTCGGTTAACGTTTAAAACGGCGCAAAAGTTCGCGCTCGGGCGGGGTGCTCCGCCTGTGATTTATGGAGTTTTTCCACACTTCTACGCAACGTCCTCGACTTTTACGAAAAATTTCACATGTTTTGCGAAGTTTTTTCTCCCTACTCAGACTTGAAGAAAACTATTTGAAAAAGTTTGCGTTATTTTGATAAAAATAGAATAGTTACAATTAATAAAAACTAGTACTTACGTAATTTGTATGTTGTGTTGCCTATAGTAAAACCGCGGCATTTTGACATCTACAACTGCAGAATAACCATTTCGATACTTCTTTTCTACATTTTATTGAAAGAATTTCTTTATGCGACTGAAAATGGCACAAATGTGTGATTTTAATGTGCCAGTCTTAAATGTCCAACACACGAGAAACGCACATAACCTATACACACATAAATGACTACTTCTCGCCATTCCCACATTGTGCCATTGAATATGTGGTGAGTTTCTCCGCAAGCGGTGAATTACAAAGACACAAATTACACTATCAATAATGTCCTAATGTGTGCGAACAAGTTAAAACACGCAGCGAGTATGGGGTGAATATTCAGTGAACAGCTCGCTCACTCGCATTATACTTTGCGTGAATCCCATTAAGTAACATCATGCTTACGACACGTGAAGATGAACGAAATTGTGAAAAATCGATTTCACTCACTCCCGTCCAGCTCTCATGGTCGTAAATATCGTCGTAATGCGCTAGTGGCATGGCGGTATGGTGTCATGCGTCATGCTGGTTGCCTACTCGCTTGTGGTCGCTTGACTGTGAACGAGATAGAGGTCATCCCTCCACGCCCTTGGCGAAGAAAAACTCGAACGCGGCCATTAATGTGCATCCCGGAAAACCCTTACCGCTGCTGGGTGGTTTTCTTTATAAACTCCCATCGTGGTCGAAGACAGAAGCTGTTTATGTGCCTCGATCCTTTTTGTTTCACCGCCGGAGCCGCCGAATTGCTTGATGAAGGGGAAAGATTTTAGCGTTTTATCGCCGAGCGCGCAAAGAGCGCCGAGGAGCAATGCGAAAGGAGGGTGAAGCAGAAGGGTGGCCCAAATGAAATTACCGCAAACGAGGAAGGTCGCGATCTTCATTCCGCCGCAAGTGCGGACGTATGGATACTGCTTAATGGGTTGCAAACTAACCTCGCAGTTTATCGTGACACAAATAGGATTTTAATATGGCAAAAAATATTAATGGCTTTGAAAATTTGAGTTTTTAAACCATTTTATTCCAATATAGAAGAAGAAAGAGTATAATTCATAATATTTATAATCTTACTGTCATCATAAGAATATACTCGTAGGTTATGTATGCGTGTGTGTTATTTTATATCTCGGACATAAACTGCGCCCTTTTAATCTCAATAAATACATTTTACAAAACCTTTCTTCAAAGATTCTTCAAAGTTTCTTTAGCTGTCCATATTTTACACGTTTGACATTTTGACAGTCTCCATTTTGAGCCTTAAACGTACTCTACTTTTCTTTTTTGGTGTTCGATTCAGTAAATATTCGTATAATCTTAAATATTTTATTAAGTTACGCTTTAATATACTGTAATATAGTCACTGAAAGGCCACTAAATCCGCTATAGGCCCTGTGTATAGAGAGGGCGCTAGTAAATACGCTACTCAGCTAAATAATCTTCAATATTTCTTCATAGCTTTTAGTATTTCTTTTATAATTTTATCATAGTCTCACTAGCCGAATGTATTTATGAATCCGAGAATTTTGAAGCTTACTGTCTGTGTGACAATCAAACTAAAACTAAAATGACCTTGAAAAAACACCATTGCTTTATTTTGAAGAGTTTTAATGGGTTTAATCATGTCTTCTATTGTTTTAACGCTCATTTTGTATGCGATACAAGCAGTTACATTGTTAGACTGTGTTGGCACCGAAAATGACTATTAATTTGAGTTATTGGCGAATATAATTGCACTGGTTGCATCTTATTTGGTTATTTGGCTCGTCGTACTCTTCGCATGCAATCGTATGCAACTTCTTTTGCTCCATATTTATAGTCAATTTATTATAGAAATGTAGGCCGTTTTTGGACTTGGACTTGGACGACCGAATTTACAACCATAATCAAAATGTCAAAGCTTAATCTAGTTTTGCGTTTACTGCAGATTTATCATAAAGCATTTATTTGTTTTGCTCGTACATGTTTCTTCATTTAGATAATCATATAGTTACGTATATCTTTGGTTTTCTTAGTGTCAATTTGTACATAACCTACAAATTTCAGACGTTTATCAAAGTTATTGCTTTGCTTTTCGTTTTGTTGTACGTTTTTTCTTTAATGCCTTCGTATTGAAAATACAATTTCTTGTTTTTTTGCATCGTACATGCAAGAAAGTGGTCTAGAACCGGTCAATACTCTCTAATCATATAATATTGTTAAGTTAAATCGCTACAAATCGTTTTACATTAGTTTTATCAGAGGGTTTTCAAGTGGCTTATGGTTATTTCTCACAAATCACAAAAATTTAAACCGAGACTATCAATACGTTTATAATAATAATTATAAAACAAAATAACAGTACTTACTTCAAATTCGAAAACAAAGTGTTATTTTTCGTGAAATTAAAAGCCTAGATTTTTATTTTATTTTTAATTTCGTTATTTTCTCGTTTCAAGAAATATTTCGTTATTTTATTTAGATAAGTTATTTTATATGTACAAACTTTAGCATAATGTTGAATAAAATATCGAAAGATTTCAGCGACGTGTGAAAGTGCACGAAACCGCGACACAAATGTTTCGTCCACCTTGCGAAAATTAATCGATCCACGCCGAAACGAGGAAACGAGGAAATGAGGTGAAAACGCTACCGCTCTGACCGAGTACGTGCTGCGGCATAGAAAAGCGAATTAGCGCAAGTTTCGCGTCGTCGCGTCGCAAATGAACGCGGCCTTTGATCAGAAGACGGCGGACATGTTGGATGACGCGACAGCGTATAACCAAACGCCGAGTATAGGCAACTTCACAGACTACTTCGTGGATTGCGACAAAACGAAGAAAAAACGCTGTTTGCTCGAAGGTCAACGTCGGTCAAAGTGAGCAAACGGCGTTCCAGTACTTATCCAAGAGAATCTAGTCCATGAAGTCATCTGATAACGTTGTCGATCAGATCACGATAGAATTATTCTGAAACAAATTAAAAAACATTCAATTTAAATAAATACTTTGAACAGTTGGTATGTTTAAAAGTTATACGATGTAGAAAATATTCTCGATGACCATGCAAGAATTATAGCTTGTCTTTTTGCGTGTTTTGTGTGCTCATGTTGTGTTCCGGTCCGGGGCCATGTTCCCCAAACCCCAACCTTCTCTTCGTGCTCTTTGACTTTGCGACTTTGAACGCTGTGCGCTTTTGCAGTTTCCAAAGATGTTTCAGGTTTCAGCGCTTCGTCTAGGGAAGTTTTCAATGTTTCAACATTTCAATTGCACATTTTGCATTCCACATCGCGCACTGCTGCAAGAATTTCGATGTTTTTGAGTCGGCGATTGCCTTTCGGTTATGCGGGTCGGTTTGTTTATCACCAACGCTAACTTCCCACCCCCTATCACAAACGTATTCATGTTTATATTCATAAGAAGAAAGAAACAATGCGTCGAGCGTTGATATTTCGAGTATGTTTATGCGCAGAGGACAAATAGAACAGATCGAAACAAGAAGCGAGATGAGAGAATGCGTCGTCGGTTTCTTGAGGCTTGCGGAGTGTGAGGGATGAAAAAGAGAATCCGGGGCGTTTTTCCATTTTAATCTACGATTTCCGCTGCGTTCCGTGCTTGAGCTTGACTATTGCGATTGCCACACAGGCGACTTTAAACGTCAATAAATTTTTAGTTTTAGTGAATGTTTTCAAGTTACTTCATCGATATTATTTCGAAAAATATTTTCCACTGCTGTATTTAGTTTTTATTGTGTTTACTTTATGTAGTGACATGTTTTGCTTTATGGCGGACGATGATGCGATGGCAATGCACTAATTATAGTTGAGCTGAAACTATTTTTAGGTGAGCCGTGTACCAAACGTGCAAACGCGTTTTGTACTACCTTCAGTGTTGTATAAATCACTAAAAACGATAGTATACGTATAGGTCAAGATTATAATATAGTAAAATATTATTTTGGAAATTAAATTGATTTAAGATGATAGTTTTGACTTTCATAACTGCAAAAACATAAATTTTCACAAAAGTTTTCCAAACATTTCTCCACTGTTTTATATCTACTTTATTTCGCGGTCACATGGCTAGATTTAATTTTCTGAATCGTTGCATCATGCGCGTGGAAGCAGCATTCCTGGTATTTTTCATATTTCCCGTCATTTTGTGGCGTCGTCCGAAGATATCTGCTATATCGAAAACGGGAGCCACTGCGAAATACTAAGAAATAAAACACACGCGAGAGAAGCAAATCGAGCGCGTCGACCAAAAACGCTCGTCCGTTTGCTCGCATCCTCGTTTCCGACTTCCAATCGGGGCGAAGACAAGAAAATAAGAAGCGAGGACGAAACAGGACGAGCGGTTAGAGTAAACGCCGCCGCATTTGCGGACGAATATTTGTTGGTATTTTCCGGGTCCACTTTTACGCTTATATTTTTATTTCCTATTTTTATTGTCTCCGAAACTAATAAAATGTTTGCGTAATACTTGCGATGACTTCAACCGTTTCAAATGAATAAACACTTTGTTAATGTAGGCAACTTGTATTGCATATCATATGTTTTGAGTTCACGTTTATGTTAATTTCTAATATAAACCTATGAATGTGAACATTGAAATAGGGTAAAGTAACGATTGAAAATACGTAAAACTATCGCCAACTTGTCCAGGCGAAATTGTAGTGGCGCACTCAGACACAATTTCATCTGATTTATAAACTGCAGTTTGACTGCGGCACTGCGGAGCGAGGCGAGCGGAGCGCGTCCCCGGCGTCGATAAATTTAAGATGTATTTCCTAAATTGTAATCGCTTTTATTTCGTCTTTTATAGTTTTACCTCCGCCGCCCGCGCGGCTTTTATCTCTCGGGCGGGCGCGGGCATCTCGACCGTCTCGGCGCTATCGTCGTCGAGCAACGCGAGTTTCCTTCCTAACTTACAGAAATGACTAGGGCGACTTCAGAACATTAGAGTATGAGAGCGCGGAAGACAATAAAGCGGCTACAGGAAGGCGGAAGACGGCGGGAAACTCGATACATCTGCAATTTCGATACTTTTTGAGACCGTGCTCGTTTTTGTGATAACACTGTCTAAGCAGGTATTTTATGGTCTATTCAATTGGCGTAGTATTTTAGTGTTGCGATAAAAGAAGTAATACTTATTACAAAATTATTTTTGTGCATTTGGTTGCATATATTAAAAATATGGTTATGTTTGGTTTGAAGATAGACCTAATGAATTCCTTGGCATATAAATTGAATTGTTTGTATTAAAGTATAATTGACCACTTAAAGTATAATTTACACGTCCGGAGATGCCCTTCTTACACGTTTGGCTCAATTCCCAATCAGCTGAGCGGCTGTCGACTCCTCCAAGTGCAATCCGCGACGCGCTAACACGAAAAAATGGAAATCAATTCTTGGCGACGCGCTGCGTCGCGTTTGGCAGGCGAGCTTCCGATTTATCGTTTACGCATTTACGTTCGGCGGCGGGCGACGCGCCCGGGTTTACGTTGCGGCACGCGTCGTGACGTCGCGCGCCCGCCACGTGTGGATTTGGCGTGCGTTTGTGCCCACAAGATCATCACGCCGACACGCTGAGCCAAAGAAGCTGCTGCCAAAGACTATTGACCCATTGATGCAATTTCCACTTGACTTTCATTCACCGAACGTGTGAGTAGTGTAAATTGCGGTCACACTCGGTGGATAAAGTGCGAATGCCAAAACGTGCGTGGCTGACGCTCCAGACTTTCCAAACTTTATACAAATTTGACATTGGAACACTTTGAAATGTAAACAATAACAAAACTAAATGAAAAATATAGTAATAATTGATTATTAACATCTGCAATGAAGTGAAGCAATGCAATGTACACAAATTGGTATTTTTGTTTGGTTTGTGGAAGTTGTTTCAATCAGAATGTATTACAAAATGTAACACAGCGTTAACATGGTTGTGTTCAGTGAAATGCTGATGGAATTAATGCGCTGATTGATTTATCGACGGACGTGTCTGATGGCCCGATGCGCCGGATTGATGCGAACGTGTTGGGAATTTTCAGATTGCCGCAGTTTATCAAGCGGTGTGGCAAAACGAAACAAGCCGAAAAGACGAAAATTTGTCAGCGAAAATTGCGCATGCTGTGAAAGCACTTCATCAGCACAAAAATCTCACTTGAATCTTACTAATTTTTTCTGCCCTAACAAATAATATTAGTAAACTTTCCTTGTTTTAAAATCAACCAAATTTTTGGGTAAATTTGTGTTTAACATTCAATTTAAGGCAGTTTTCTTCTTATTCCAGTTCGTTACACATCGCCCTGTCACTTTAAAGTGACACTGAATAAGTTCCGACTCTTCGAGACAACAAAAGTGTTGAAGTGAAAAATTACCAATAAAAACATTCATGTAAGTTATTCGTGTTTTGTTTTCTTGTTTTTATCTTTCTAAATATTTTTAATGCGCTTCCATGTCGCGCGCGCTTCGTAACAAATAAATTCCGCACTTTTTCTTCATTTCAAGTTTCCTCGACCTTCGCGACGAATGCGTACCACACGCTGAGCCGCAACCCAACGCACATTCGTATCCGCAAGGAAAAAGGCGCTGGAAAGAGGTTAAAAGTTACGATTCGTTGACCCATTTCGCATCGGGCGCGCGCGCAAAAGTTAAGTTTATAGCCGGCGGATGCATCCGAGCGTCAAATTTGGTTTATTTTCGCCCCGGGCGCGATGCCGCGCGATTCGAAAACGCGACGCTGGCTGGCATTAAAGCAATATTAGCGCGCGCGAGCCCACCACCAGACAGTATCTTACGATTCGAGAGCGTCGCGTCGCACCGGCTTTACGATTCCGTGAACTCTCCCTCATCCGAATGCGCACCCTGAACACCCCGAATGCCCCGAACGCCGACAATGCTTTATAGCGACAAACGGCGTGGCGTTTCCACGTTTTTGATTTAATGCGCTATGAATTATTAGCTTTTTCGGACCGCGCCGGTTTTAATTTTTAAGATTTGCAGCCTTCTTAGCCGTTACTATCGCAAAACAAAAACGAATACAATCGATGCACGCCGGCAATACGACAGTTATCGATGCAGTGGAAAGTTTTAATCAACGATTGTACTGAATTATTGTGCGATTATGCAGCGTCGAATTACATAAATCATGTTCATCGAGTCATGAAACATGCAAAACATCTCGATGTAATAAATCTCAAATAAAAATATCTATTTTTTTTACGTAGAAATTTAAAGTATTAGAAAACGCAAAAAACACTCAAACTAATGGAGAGCATCTGAGGATCTCTCCGCGCGTCCTCACGGCGAGTTTAATTAGTCGCGACTTATTTTTAGTCCGCGAGCTTTTCTCACTTATTAATAGCCCTAAAGTGGCTAAGGCGCAATGCAAAACGCGAACACGGACTTCAACGTCTTTCGTCGCATTTAACCGCGGTCAAACTACTTAAATGACAAGCAAAACAAAAAAACGACCTGAAATAATCTTGGAATTTTTGATACAGCCGTTTTATAATATTGAAGATTGATTATTTGAAACGAGCAAAAAAATTATCTAGCATATTCTGAATAATCATGAATCATAGACATGATTTGCAAAATTAGAAATCAATTTGCAAAACAAATCAATCAATTTTTATGCATTTGAAAACTGTTTTTATACAAATACCGACCTTGTTACATATTAATTAAGATGTTGTTTATTTCGTTGTCCTTCGTGGACCATTTGTCCATCGTTGGAAGGTCTTCTTCAACTTGTTTTTTCTTAACAAATTTTATTATCCCAGGCTTATAATTTCATAATAATTTTTAATGAAATAAGTTTTAGTTTATCATAATTATCTTATGAAATTCCTAACTTTGTAAGTTTACGTATTTTGTATTTTGAATTGTATTTTGACAACGTGATCGTCGCGATCTTCTTGAGAGTAGAATATTTGTATGTGGGAGCGGCGAAAGCGCGCGCGAAGGCGGCGAGCGCCGCGCGCGTACTGCCGCTGGCGGCTCGCGGCGTCACGACTCTGGCGGCGTCTGGCTGCTTTCCAAAGCGTTGCGAGCTTTTCGAGCGACAGAACCGTCGCATTCGCACACCGATTCTATGCACATGTATGTAATGTGCATGCATATCAAAGTTGCACACTGCAGTGGACGCACACTACTTCACACATGTGCAGGATGCGTCATAGAGAGGGATGTTGCAAAGGATATAGGCAGGAATACTCAGGGATTCAGGCTTAAAGTCAAAGTGGCGCACGATTCGGCGGAACGATGCGTTTATGCGTTTACTGCATTTATCCTAATATGGGCTATCGATGGATATATATTCATTTGTCATACCATGTGTTTAATCAAAATAAAACAGGAAATCATTAATTCTCATTAAGTTTTCGTGGTTATTTAGTTAAAACCGACATCGCTAGATGGTGAAGTGATGTTGAGGGTTTAAATTTGCCTAGATTTATATTTAAGTTATGCAACACAATTTGCATCGATGTTTCATACATAACATATCTCCATACACAAATTATATTAGATTCATTTTCTTTTTTAGTTAATATTTTGTTTTTTTCATTGTACATGAATCTTAGGCATGTTTAATTATTTGAACATATTGTATATGCCTAATGTAAACTTCCGCGTTGCATTATCGAAACGAATAGCTCAGTAATACGGCCGAAAACGTACCTAGCGCAATATACGAAGAGACAATATGCATAAGTGCATCCGTTTTGGCAATGCTCGCCGTACGCTAAACGCAAAAGCCTTTCTTTCTAGCAAATCCCCATGTGCGCTAGCATATCCACACACAGTCATCTCTCACATGTGAATAATATGGAGAATGTGCAGGATATGCAGGATGTTTGCCGCTGCATGCGCGACCTCGGTTGCGTCTAGGCCGGGATGAAATTAAAGGCTTCGTTCGCTAATGAGCGCGCGCCGTGCCCGGCAAGAGTGCGGGTTGTTAGCAGATGCACGACATGTAAATATCTTCGACTCCTTCCTATCTCGCGTCACCCCCGCTGCTCGCCCGGTTTCGTCCTTTGCTTTCCTTTGACATCCTTTTCGTTTTCTTGCGGTGTTTGTGCTCGGTGCAACTCTCGCAGTTGTTATGTTTATTAATGCGCGACGCTCCGACTGCGACGGAACGGAATTCTAATTAAAGGATTAAAATTAGTGGATCGGACTAAGTAAGACGCCGGCAGGACGCTCACGGTTGCAATGGGCGCGTAGCTTCCCAACAGATATGGAAGTAAGATGCATCTGGCTTGCAAGTATTACATGCAAGAAATGTCGTGCTAAAATACCAAAATGTTTGCCGTAGACATAGGACTTGTTTTGTTTTACAAATTATAGACGTTTTAGATAACATACAGAGTGATAAAATAAGAAAACTCATAATTAAAAACATTTTTGTCTGTATTTTTATATTCAATCACAAATGATATTTATATAATTATAAATTTGACAAAATATTAATTTATATACATGTTTTGTATCATTCTGTTTGTTATAATGTAAGAGTTCTCAAGATTAACCGCTCACAAATACAATTAGAATAAGAAATAAACATTCCTAGCATGAGACAAGGAAACAAAATAACATTCACAACATAAAATATCTTAACGTAAAGCATGCCGAGTTTCCCTAAACCTAGTATGGATGTCTTGTTTACTAATTTTCTAACATTTCGAAAATTCGCGAGGTTGAAGAGGTCACACATCCATCTTGCGCGTGGGTGGACAGCCGTAGACCGACAGTGGAGAGGATGGTGAGCTGGAACGCTAGTCGGGAACGGAAATGCGAACGCGTAAACAAACGAGAGCACAATCGAAAGTGACAATTATTGCGTTTTGCATTTGAAATTACGGCGCACGAGGAAAACAACCACAAGAAGTGGGTGTGCACCAGTAATCCACCCTCTGGAGTAGAATATAAATGTAATGAATTCCAGAATATACAAAACTACTTGAATAAGAAAAAACGGTTTGTTTTTAAGTTGTGATAGATAGATAAGAATATAAAATACTAAACACGTGTGATAAGGTGTTCTCAATAACAAAAAAACCTGTATAAATTGGTCAAAATTTAATTGATCCTCAGTTGAAAACACAAGTTCACAAGTTTTGTACCTAAAATATTGTTAAAACTTATCAAAATGAAGAATTTTCTTTTTATTATTGCTTGTTTTTTTATGGTGCAAGTACAAAGTCAAGAATTATCTCTTGGAGCATGTAGTAATTATCCGGTTCAAGTTGTACAGAATTTTGACGCTTCAAGAGTAAGTTATTAATTAAAAATCATTAGAATTATTTTATTCATCAGTAATTTTTTTCCTTTAAAGTATTTAGGTGTTTGGTATGAACAATCCCGGTATGAAACCTCTTTCCAATACAATTTAGACTGTGTTACTGCAAATTATTCACTGCCTGATACACAAAACATAATTGTTATTAACAATGGAATAATGTTGAGTACTAGTGAGGTTGTTAGTATTGAAGGTGTTGCTAATTTCGCTGATCCATCGCTGAGCGAAGGCAAGTTGGAAGTTAAATTTCCTTCAAGTCCACTTGCAGATTATTGGGTGATTGGCACAGATTATGATAATTATTCTGTTGTCTGGAGCTGTACTGATTTACAAATAGTCAACATACGTAAGTTTTAAACATAAAAACGTTAAAAACACGTTATTATTTGTTATTTCTTTTATTACAATAGAATTTTTGTGGATTCTTTCACGTACCCTGAATTACCAAAAGACAAGATGGCGGAAGTTGACGATATTTTAGAAAATGCAAAGTTAGCTGCGGTCAAATTACGAAAAACTATTCAGGATCAATGTCCATGGATTAAAAATATTTAGTTTAAGTCAATTCAATGTTTCTACGAGTATTATAGTGTAAAATAATAATTTTAATAATATAACATTATCACCTATTGAATGATTTTTGTATGAATAGAATAGAAAGTTAAAATAGGTTAACACACTGATTTATATTATTAGTGTACTATTAGTTAATTAATATATTTGACCTAAACGTAAAGGATGCAAACGAATTGTGCGGTTACAAGGCTGCTATTAGTTATACAACAATATGAATGATGAACTATGACAACCTTTCACGCGTAGTCATTTTAGTGTATATTTTCATCCGCACTCGGCAAACAAAACACTCATCTACGAGTATACGAGCCGCCACTGGGAAAACAAGCTGCACTTCACCGACTATAAAATTACACGAGCAGTGCCAATTAATATTCAGTTGTCAAGTATCTAACTTAAACTATATACTTAAAGATAATGAAGAACATAAATAACATATATACAGTGATTGTAACTTGTTTGATTTTGGTTCAAGTGCATAGTCAACAAATTTCAAGTGGAGAATGTAAAAACTACGATGTGAAAATTGTGCAGGATTTTGATGCATCAAGAGTAAGTTATGCTAAATTTACAAACAATTTTAAATTTTATTTTATGTTATATTGATGAATAGTATCTTGGAATTTGGTATGAACAAGCACGATACGAAGCCATTTTCCAATTTAATATGGATTGTGTCCGAGCAAATTATTCTTTGATCGATGAGAATAGAATTAGAGTTGTTAACAGTGGAATTGTACTAATTGCTAACGCTGATAGCAGCATAGAAGGTGTAGCACGTTTTGTTGATTCTTCTAAAATGAAGGTAAACTCCTGGTTAGATTTCCATTAAGTCCTGAAGGCAATTACTGGGTGATTGGGACTGATTATGATAATTATGCTATTGTCTGGAGCTGTACTGATATTTTACCTGGCATACTCTCTACAAATATGCGTAAGTTCCTATAAAATAATTGATAAGTTAATACAAAATAGTATTGTTTAGAATTCTTGTGGATTCTTGCACGTTCACCTCACTTATCCGATGACAAAATGACGGAAGTTAAAGATATTCTGCAGAATGCCAAATTAGATAGAAGTTCATTACGTAAAACTATACAGGATCAATGCCCATGGAGTAATAAAGTGTGAAAAACAATGTTTTAAACATTGTTTAATACTCGTTTTACGCAACATATTAGTTATTCATATTCTAATTAAGTAAATATGCATTGTATACGCGTGCAACCTTCACAAGGTCAATGATAAATATAGTTTCACTATCATGTAATAATAATAACCGTTTGTTTTCTATTTTAATTCTGCATCATTGTTAGGATTGGTCATGCATTTATTTATAACTTATTATATTTTAACTTTTAAGTTAGACAACCTAACTTACGTTTAGTGTACTTTCTTGATTTCTTTTTAACTACATGGTAAGACACTTTAACGTGACAATTTAATAGTTACATTTGCACGTTGTAATGATTCCGTTAATTAAGCAATTAAGTCGAATTGCGTTTTCTAATGATGTTATTAACAAAGAAGTAATTTCGTCGAAAGTACCAAAGCGTGCCAAAATGCAAATACCGAAAAACGTCCGAATGATGTCGGATTAGAAGACTTGAAGATGGGTAATTGCAGAACAACAATTAAAAGTTTAACGATAATTATTAAATGTATAAGTTTTACAAAAGTTTAATAATAATATTTTCAAATGTGAATACTTAATATTTTTAGACTAAAATAAAAATTTTAAATTATTGTCATAAGTTAATAATGCTTTACTACAGCCGCCCCTAAGAACGGCTTAATACGCCGCAGTTTGGGTCCTCATATTCCGTTGTACCGCGATCTGCGATGCATTGGGTTGTTATTTTGCTTGTTGTGTAGCCACGAGCTTTCTAGCATCAGCATATGCCGCCGGCGGGTGTGAGGCGGCGGCGCGGCGCATCAATCGCCCTAGCCTTGCTGCCCTCGGCGCCGTGCCGCCACTCCTCTACTGCTCGCCATATTTTTGGTTATAAAATAGAGCAATATTGCCATTTATGTGGCAGACAACAGACTGGCGCGGTTTGAATTGTTTTTCGTGCGATCGGTCGACGCCAGTCAAACACAAATAAACTATGAATATTCGTACATTTATATTAGAAAATTCTAATGTTAATGTAACATGCAATAAATTAACTTAATTAGACAAAAGTTTATTTCAAGTTAAAACATGAGTTTTATGTGCAATTTAAATCGAAATAAAAATAAATCTTCTTTGACATGCATAAATGAAAATACTTAAAGTTTAAATACAACACATATGTAGGAATATTTAAGATGAGGGCTGTAGGTTTTAGACTAGACGTATGCATAAATATGTCGAATTGATGCGGCGCGCGATAAACGCTGGGTCGAGCGCGCCGACGATTCATTGCGATTGCTTCGCAGTTCGCATCATTCGCGAACGCGTTTTGCCATGAGCCATTCCACGATTTCGCTCCGCTCCTCTGCGTTCCGCTATTAAAATGTTCGAATATGCTCGGGACGAATAATGCGAATAATACGAATATGCAATACGATGCAATGCACTGTCTCGCATTTGAGCGTAATCTCCGCTCGCGGATTACTGGCGCATTTTTTCTGCATAGATTTTGCGCATCGTCTGTGTCTCATCTAATGTACGCGCATAAATATTTTTAATCTCACTCCAAACTATACAAACACAATAGGATAAAACTGAAATAATTTACAAACTAAAACTTTCCGATGATTTCCAATAAATGTTTACGAAAAGTTTTATTTTATGAGTGTACAGCCAAGATGCATTACATGAAAATTAAATATTTTGATTTATTGTGTTACAGATGCACTAAACACTAAAATAATTAACAGCTGTTGTCGCTGGTGTTAGATATTGTTTATAGTTGACCAGTAAACATTATTAAACGCTAATAAACGATGGTAATCTGTGTCGACGTCCAGCACAACCCACAGTGTTAACTGCATGTTAACAGTGTTAAATGCCCCTAAATGTTAGCGTCCAGAGAGCGTAAAGGGAATAAAGCAAAACTACAACCAGCTTGCTGTGCTGGGAAGATAATGGTTGGCCGAACATTGCGGAGTGTTTAATTGCTTGCATCGTTCGACGTTGGCGCACTTTGTCGTTTGCAACATCCTTAGACGGACGTTAAATTTAACTGACAGTGTGCGCATTGCATGAACAGTGCAAATGACAACTATAACAATTAAATTTTGATAATCATGATAATAGGTCTTTCAAATTATCATCAAATGCTGTTTATTAAACAGAATATTACGTTTTTATTATCTTTTATTTATTTTTGAAAATGAATAAGTAAAGATGTAAAATTTGAATATTTTGCAAAATTACACGGAAAAACACATTACAAAGCAAAACATTGTCTCCCCTTTGCAATTTGTCTGATTTCAAATGCGTCGCACGTCTTTTGTCTTTTTCTTCTTTTGACTCGTTTGGGGGTTTTCAATATTCGATTACACGCATTTCAGGTCGTTAATGTTTCTGATTTGTATTCATCGACGTTCCAATGTAATCTGTCACAAACTAAGCTCGAAATACAAAGAAGAAAAATGTATTAATGTTTCAAAAATAATTATTTTCTTCATTACCTTAAGTTATATATTAAAGCATAGTTTAATTAATGTTTAAAATGTGATATACATCTTTTAGTTAAGAAATAATATATGCAACACACAAGCTAATTAAATTTCGCCGAAATTAATAAACTTGAGCTAAAAATAATGTAACACGCTGCAATTTTTGCTAAATTGCCCAAATGTTGTCCATCACTTTCATATATTGCACTAAATTACTGTTTTAGTTGTTCTACATGTTAAAAATAGTTTCAAACCATTATAAATGGCATGTTTTAACATAGAACTTGGACACTGCTAGCAAATTTTGATATTTGGTAAGTACAATTTCATATTGTTTTATGTAACGTAACGAAAGAGACAGCAGCAATATTTTTACTAATAACAATTAATTATAAACGTAACTGCCACATCCATATGCCATTTTTGGCTTCACTTTTAGAGTATATAAACTGGAATTGTAGGAACAGAAATCATTCACAATTCATTTGTGCTTTCAAACAACAACAATTCCAGCAATAAACATGCTTGCGAAAGTAAGTTAAAAATTAATTAACGGTAACATTTATTTTATATTCTATTGCTTATTTAGATTGTGGTTTTGTCCGCCATTTTGGGATGTGCACTGAGTGCTCCCCATGGTACATCATACGCCTCAGTCAACCAACACTTTGATAATCATCATGATGGCCATAATGAACACCACTACGATATCCACGACCATGATGATCATCATGCTTATGATAATCATGTTGATCATCACTATGTAGCTCATGAGAACGATTGGGAACATCATTACGAAGAACCTAGCGTTGAAGTAGCTCATTATGACCATCACGATGACCATCACGATGACCACCATGAGGAGCATCACGATCATCATCCCAAGTATGAATTCAAATATGGCGTTGAAGATCACCACACGCATGACATGAAGTCCCAGGAAGAGCACCGCGATGGCGATGTTGTCAAGGGACACTACAAGCTGGTTCAACCCGACGGCAGGACTCGCATTGTTCATTACACCGCTGATAAGCACAATGGATTCAATGCTGATGTCACCTATTCGGGACATGCCGATCATCCGTCTCATCACGAACATTACTAGATCGATTTATTTGACTGAGTGATATGAATGGGACTATGATAATGTTGTGATCAAGATGGATATAGCTATTTATTTTTTGTATATTGACCTACCTACTGTCAAATGTTTATAATATACATACATATATATTTTTGCAATTTAATACTTTGTTTTATTTTGGGGATTAATTAATTGTAGTACAGGAGTAGAGTGCGAAAATTTGAAGAGTGTCGTTATACGCACGCTTTTCTTGTGAAATTGTTTGTTTTTTGAGTTTTTGATTCAGTCTGCAACCTGCACAAATTGCAATATAATAGCAGAAATTTATTTTTTTTACTTTGGATTATATATTTGCTTTATAAGAAAGATGGCAGTCGTTTTTTTGTCATTGGTTAAGAAAATCTAAGATTGTTATGAAAAATGAGCAGTTAACAAATTACAATGTTAATGTTTCTGATGAAACACGATTTGTATCTGGCGATTCCTATACTTAAGGTTAATTCTGTTTGTTTCAGATTGCTAGTATACGAGTAGTAGTATACGAGTAGTATGGATTGCATTAAGACACTCTCAAGTGTCCAGAAGTGTCCTTAAATTGATCTTCAATTCCTGACTCGATTTTAATTATGATTTAAGCTGATTATGGTAAAAAAGTTACAGAATTGACATTCGGATACTATCAAGTGTCGAGAAATGCACGTAAATGAATTTAATTATTTTTGGTAATTTTCATCAAATTTGGGCCTTGTGATTAATGATTGCGAGTTTGGGGACGTAGAAATTTTGCCTAGTGTGCTAGTAGTACCAAAACTGGCGCTGCTATGCATTCATAGTTAAGATATATACGCGCGATGCTTATACGTAAACAATTTTTTTGTCGCGTTCAGTGAACGTATCGCGCAATACTGATAGTGACCTCGTGTTGTCGCAGTTGGCTGTATGTATTTTGCTGCACACGCAGTTCAATTCCGTCCTTCGAATGGGATGCGCGTCTCCATCGCGACTACTTCTGTCTCTCCAGATCATAATTAAGTAAATTGATTTATATTCATTAAGCAATCGACGGCATATACAAGAAACGGGCGTGACCGGGATTTTACAAGTGTGATTGGACACGGCTGTGTGTGTCAATCGGGGATTACTTTACGGTTCTGTGCGGCGCGCGCGTATCCGTCGACAAACGGTTATGTTTTCGCACATAAGAATAACTTGGATTTATAATTAATTCGTGCAAGTAGACTTTATTTTAATTCTGTTTGCTTCAGGTGAGAGAAGAAAAGTTCTTTAATCGTATGAACAACATTCAGTCACCTTCAAGAGTCGGGAAATGCCCTTAAATCAGTCTCAAACTTCAGCAATTTTGGTCATTTTTGAAAAGTTGCTGTGGAAAATGGTCTGTATCTCGCGTTTCCTTGGCACGATTTTAATTCTGTTTGCTTCAGGTGATAGAGGAAGTGTTCTTTAATGGTATGAACTGCATTCATTCACCCTCAGGGGTCGGGATATGCCCTTAATTCACTCTCAAATTTCAGCAATTGTTGTCATTTTTGAAAAGTTGCGTTGGAAAATGGTCAGTATCTTGCGTTTCCTTGACTGGATTTTAATTATGTTTGCTTCAGGTGATAGAAGAAGAGTTCTTTAATCGTATGAACTACATTCAGTCACCCTCATGGGTCGGAAAGTACCCTTAAATCACTCTCAAACTTCAGCAATTTTTGTCATTTTTGAAAAGTTGCGGTGGAAAATGGTCTGTATCCTGTGTTTCCTTGACTGGATTTTTATTCTGTTCCCTTCAGGTGATAGAGGAAGAGTTCTTTAATGGTACGAACTGCATTCAGTCACCCTCAAGGGTCGGGATATGCCCTTAAATCACTCTCAAACTTCAGCAATTTTTGTCATTTTTGAAAAGTTGCGGTGGAAAATAGTCCATATCACGCGTTTCCTTGACTGGATTTTAATTCTGTTTGCTTCAAGTGATAGAAAAAGAGTTCTTTAATCGTATGAACTACCTTCTGTCCCCCTCAAGGGTCGGGAAGTACCCTTAAATCCCTCTCAAACATCAGCAATTTTTGTCATTTTTGAAAAGTTGCTATGGAAAATGGTCAGTATCTTGCGTTTGCTTGACTGGATTTTAATTATGTTTGCTTCAGGTGATAGAAGAAGAGTACTTTAATCGTATGAACTACATTCAGTCACCCTCAAGGGTCGGGAAGTACCCTTAAATCACTTTCAAACTTCAGCAATTTTTGTCCTTTTTTGAAAAGTTGAGGTGGAAAATGATCTGTATTTCGCGTTTCCTTGACTGGATTTTAATACTGTTCGCTTCAGGTAATAGAGGAAGAGTTCTTTAATGGTATGAACTGCATTCAGTAACCCTCAAGGGTCGGGAGGTGCCCTTAAATCACTCTCAAACTTTAGCAATTTTTGTCATATTTGAAAAGTTGCTGTGGAAAATGGTATGTATCTCGCGTTTCCTGGACTGGATTTTAATTTTGTTTGCTTCAGGTGATAGAAGGAGAGTTTTTTAATGGTATGAACTACATGCAGTCACTCTCAATAGTCGGGAAGTACCCTTAAATCACTTTCAAACTTCAGCACTTTTTTGTCCTTTTTTGAAAAGTTGCGGTGGAAAGTGGTCTGTATCCTGTGTTTCCTTGGCACGATTTTAATTCGGTTCGCTTCAAGTGATAGAGGAAGAGTTCTTTAATGGTATGAACTATATTCAGTCATCGTCTAGGGTTGGGAAGTGCCCATATATCACTCTCAAATTTCTCGCAATTCGCACGTTTTCCGGCTCGATTTTCAGTTGGGCGCCGTAGAAATTTTGCCTAGTGCGCCAGTAGTACCAAAACCGGCGCTGCTTGCTATGCATCCATAGTAAAGATCTGTACGCGCGAGGCTTGTATGCAAACAATTTTTTTGTCTCGTTCAGCGAACATATCACGCAATACTGATATTGACCTCGTGTTGTCGCAGTTGGCTGTATGCATTTTGCAGCACACGCAGTTCAATTCCGGACATCGAATGCGGTGCGCGTGTCCTGTTACTTCAGATCATAATTAAGTAAAATGATTTATATTCATTAAGCAATCGACGGCATAAACCAGAATCGGGGGTGACCGGGGTTTTACAAGCGTGATTCAATGCTGTTGGGTTTATCAATCGTGGATTAATTCTCAGTTCACATGTGCGCACGTGTCCGTCGGCATTCAGTTATCGTCTCCCACATAAGAATAACTTGGATATATAATTAATTCCAGCAAATGGACAACTTTGATGCCCAGCCAAGAAGTTTGTGAATGCACGAATGAAGTTTGCAATATCTCTAGATGAAGTGTTGGAGATGCGAGTATTTTAAGGCAAGTTTTTACTACTTTCGAATTTGCTAGCTGTCGATATTTTTCTATTTAAAGAAATGTATCTATTATTATTTTTGTCAATAAAACACAATGTAAAATTATAATCTCATGCTTATTTTTTTGTATCCCCTTTGTTGTTTTCAGTATTAACTGCTAACGTCATATTGCATCTAAATCTTATGCGCTTGGAGCGAGTGGAACATAGCTATAGGTAAAGCGTTGTTGTTTTTAAAAAGTTGAATAAAGTAGAAACATAAATAGAAGAATCAAATAACAATGATAAAAACACTCGGTGGTCGAGTGGATACGTGCACCTGCTGGCATGCTAGTAGACACGTATCGAATCTCAGGTATGGAAGGCATTTTTCTCAAATATAAAAATATATGGTGATATTTGGGTTGCATATATGAACTGCAAGAAATATAAGAGAAATTGAAATACAAGTGAAGGCAATATGAGAAATAAGGAAGCAAGTGGAGGAACAGAGAAATAGAAGAAGGAGTAGTAGAGAATAGGAGAAGATAGAAAAAAGAGAACAGAGAGAAGTAGTAGAGTAGAGAAGAGGAGGAGATAGAAGAAAGAGAACAGGGGAGGATCAGATTTTTAAATTTTTTGGCCCGTGTCGTTAGACAGCCCACTGCTTCGATGTGTCCATTGCTCCCGGCCCATCCTACAGCTACGATGTCTCTGCGCTTCATCCCCGAAATACTCAGGTATATCAACAATTTTCATGGTAGGGGAGCACCCCCAGAGAGAGGGAACTCCTTATAAGGATAATCCTTATAAGGTCTTGTTCAAATATTTCTAAGTTTTAAGCCGCCCCAAGAGAGGGGACACTTAAAAATATTCTTAACAGTTCTGACCTGTACCTGAAATGAGAGAAGGAGTACACAAATCATTCAGGATACCTTAACAATTTTTATAGTGGGGATCATCCCCTGAGAGAGGGAACTCTCTTAGAGACCTGTTCCTGAAATGATAGAAGGGGTACACAAATCAAAGAAGTCAATATATCTTACTATTTATTTATTATCAATAGAATACAAGTTTATATTTTACAAGTCTACAGAATACGTGCCGCCATATTGAAACAGCGTAAGTCCTGCATAGTCGCATAGCCAGCATAGCCGCGCACATGCCAGCAAGTATTACTTCATAAAGTTCAACCGGAATAATGAACTTAGTGAATAGCCAATTTTCTAGGTGATTGAAAATGGAAACAAATATACAGGGTGTTATAAAAGAAAAGTACAAATAAAAAACTGTAAACACTAAAGTATTCAAAGTACAAAGCGGAAAATCTTTAAATCAACAGTTTAAGCAAAAATTTCGCGCACACAAAGGACGGAAAAAGAATATACAGAGTGTTTCAGATAGAAAATCTCAAGTTCAAAACAGAGAGCACCAAATAATAATAAACACAGGCGATTTTGTACGCAGTGTTAAAAAAACTAATATACAGGGTGTTGTAAAAAGAAAATTTTAGAACCTACAAAGGCATGAAGCGAGAAATTTACAAATAAACAACAATGTTTTAACATAAAATCCAAGATTTTACCGAAAATCAAGTGGAAATTGAGCAAAAACTGCTACGAAAATAAAACACATACATTATAATAACTACGAAAACGAAAAACTATTCATGATTTTATTAGGTCAACTAGAAATTTCTTAATTTGAAGATGCTAACGACTGCACTTCGATTAAAATCGTTCACGTATTCAGCGAAAAGATAACCGAGCCGACGGCCGACGGCAAAGTGAACGTGGTCGACCACATGAATAATGTCATTTTAATAATCCTCACATAATTTTAAAACGGTGTTTGTAATAATTAAATCATGCATGTCATTTTGGAAACGGGACTAGGAATTCTGATAAAAATGCAACCACGTGTTTGTAATTTGCAAGATAATACAAGGAAAATTAGTATCCCTCAAATTTAATAAGCAATTTAAGTGAAACCGCCTTAACTTTTCGTGAAAAAAAATTAATTAGACACCTAGATTATTTATCCCGGAATATATTCTAAACCTCGCGCATCGATTAACGGATATTTATTTCGCACTTAAGAAGACTCTAACCGCCACAAATCATCACACAAAACACCCACACATGCCCGTTGCAAATATTTAGCTGATGACCGAAAGAATACACGACGATTAAACCAATTAAAACCTCAAAACACTTCGCGATTTGAGAGACACGCTCGCAGAAAACGCGGTGAAATAACTGCCGTCGCGGTAATACGCGTCTGTCGAACAAAAAGTTGTTTATACACAAACGTACTGATAAACACGCAGTTGAAAAGACAAAACTAGAACTTCACAATGTTGAAATAACCGACATACACGAAATCTACTTTTACTTTTATTTCTCGGCATAAGAAAAGAATTTATTGGCAGCTTTGGGATGTAATAGGATTGAGAAAATCAGAATTTAATTTACCATTACAAATCAATAATTTATTGCATAATCCCACAACACCGCCCCTAATTTAAATATTCACTGTAAGAAATGAGGGTTAAAACTTATTACGCAGTAGTTTCATATAAAATAAAGGCTGAGACAAAGAAACATATCGATCACGATAAGTTAAAATATGATATCTACCTTCTACTTTTTAATAAAGCAATTATACTTTATACCAGCTTGGATACAAATACGCATAAATATACAGCAAATGTTAAATAATTTCTATATCAGTGCAACTCTTGTCAGTATATAAACTACGCTGAAGATAACAATTTGTTTACATATTCACGAAGATGTTGAAAAGAAATAAATACAGACAAAACTACATTCACCGGGAGTGTACCAAAAACGCACGTAGTATAAAATTGGCAGTAACTCAGAAGTATTTTAAGTATAAAAATAAAAAAATTTCCTCAAAATTTTCAGCAGCGAAGTTTTAAAAGAGCATACAAAAATTTAAACTATTTTGAGACAGTTAAGACCAAATTTTGCATGAGCTCAAGTAGAAATTGCATCTTCTTCAACTCTTGCGCCATCATGCAAAAATTAAGTAACAAAATATTTGCAAAGGATTCACTTGAAATATGACCAGTTTTCCACCGTAAGTTTTAGAAGAATGCTAGAAAGAGCAAACGTTTTGCAGCCATTTTGGGAACAGTTGGGACGTGGGAATTTCACTTGAGTTTTCAAGGGCGCCTTGAAAGGACTTTTCCTTATCACATAAAGTAGAAATAGCAAAAATATTGCAAAGGGTTCTTGAAATATGACCAGTTTTCCACCCGTAAGTTTTTGAAAAATGTAGAAAGAGCAAACTTTCGCGGCCATTTTGGGACCCTTCGGACTGAAATTCGCAAACTATCAAGAGTTGCACCTTGAGAAAGGACTCTTGCTTTTGTATCACGTAGGTAATAACTAAGAATTATTGCAAGGGTTCGCGAAAAGAGATATGGCCCAATTTCCACCGTAAGTTTTTGAAAAATGCTAGAAAGAGCAAACTTTCGCGGCCATTTTGAGACTGTTGGGACTGAAATTCGTTGGGAGTTTCAAAGGGGTGCATCTTGAAAAGGACTCTTGCTTTATCACATAAAGAAGAAATAACTGGAATATTGGAAAGGTTTGCGAGATATGACCAGTTTCCCACCGTAAATTTTTGATAAATTCTGAAAGGAAAGAACAAACTTTCGCGGCCAGTTTGGGGCTATTTCGGACTGAAATTCATGAGGGTTTTCAGGGGTGCACCTTGAAGAAAGGGACTTTCTTTAACGCATAAAGAAGGAAATAACTAAACAATTTTGTTGCAAAGTGTTCACTTGAGATACTTATTGATTTTCCATTGGCAAGTTTGAAAAATGCTAGAAAGAGCAAACTTTTCGCGGCGATTTTGAGAACTAATTAGGACTGAAATTCGCGGGGTTTCAAGGGTGCATCTTGAAAAGGACTTTTACTACATCATATAAAAGAAGAAATAACTAAAATATTTTTGAAGGGTTCGGCATTCATTTTCAACGGCAAATTTTATGAAATGCAAAGAATAAATTTTGGCGACACGCATGTGGAACGCGATAAAAGAAAACATACAAAAGTACGATTCGCAAGTTTGAAAAAGAAAATAGAATTGATTTTAAATCCTACCAATACAGAGCTCATGGCACTCAAGCACTCCCCAAGCGCCAAAATAAAAAGAAAACAATTTCCAAATATTTCATACATTTAATATTATGCTCATTTCGTCGAGAAAATAGCTAACCGCCAGGCAGTGTCCATTCAAAATTGAATCTACTTGTAAACTCAACACTATTTATTCCTAATAACGCGGGGACCAACACACGCCAACTGTGACTTGTTATTCGCAACATTTGGGCATGAAACGCACAATTAATCACTACCAAACACGGCAGATGCAAGTTACAACTAAATAGTCGATTGATGATCGAATATAATGCATATGTAGAAAGGAGAAGGTCGATTAAACGATAAAAGTCGCACGAAATACACGTGGATCATTCAACGACCAGCACAATACTGGCTGCAGTCCACTGATAGCGTATGCCGTAGCCGAGCAAGCAACGTCGCGCTTGAACCCCTCAGGCAAAAGTAATAGTTGCGCAAAGCCGGCTTGTCGATGGCACGCAACCTTGTACACGAATTGCAATAGACACTTTACCTGCGATCGAAACTGCGTTGTCGCTGCATAGGAATACAGTCGATAAAAACGATAAAAATAACTATTTCTTTATAAATATTAAGATGTACTGAGACTGCGAAAACGATAAACTATTCAACGTACAAGAAGGTCAACAAGAAACTTCTTAATTTTATGATGATAAGGAGTGCAAATCGATTAAAAATCTTCACGTGTTCATACAAGACCGGTATGCAACGATATCACGCATCAGTCGCACAAGAAAACTCGTAGTTGAAAAGACAAAACTAAAATTTCACAATGTTGAAATAACCAATATTTCTCGGCATAAGAATAGAATTTATTGGCATCCCAAAGCCAAAGTCCTAAAATTGAAAAAAACAGGAATTTTATTTACCATTACATATAAATAATTAATTGTCTTCGTAGTTTACTGTATACCTTATGTGCTGCGTCATATTTTTTTAAGTAGTTTTGGTATCAAATAATAATGTAATGAATAGCGCTAGCGACAAACGGATTGTAGATTAAGAAAGTTTGGAAAAATCTCTATCAGGTTAAAATATAAAATAATTAAATTTCCTGAGCTAAAATGTCCAAAAACAATTTATATTTTATAAATACGACTCACTTCTACTTGTGCGGTGCTCTGAATTGAGTCACTTATACCGCTAGTCTCAAACGGTACCCTAAATCGACTCACTTGTACCGTTACCTTCGTACGGTGTCCAGAAAGGGAGTCACTTCTACCGCTAGCCTCATACGGTGCTCTGAACGCGAGTCACTTCTACCGCTGCCCTTGTACGGTGCCTTGAATGGGAGTCACTTCTACCGCTAGCCTCATACAGTGCCCTGAACGCGAGTCACTTCTACCGCTAGCCTCATACGGTGCCCTGAATCGAGTTACTTTTACCGCTTAGTTTATACGGTGCTCGGAACACGAGTCACTTTTGCCGCTTGTCTCGTACGGTGCTCAACGGCAACTTGTCGGTGCAACGACAAAAATGGATTTCAAATTCTTAATATACGTAAGAAAAATAGTAAATTTATCAAATTTTCAAAAATTCAGAATATGGGCCATAAAAATTTTGCTATTACCTTTGTATCAATTTTTTGCTTATATATATATTTGTTTTTTTCATTTCTTACTTCGAATTTGTTGATGTGAGTTATTTTCCTCTCTTATTTATCAAAATATTTAGGGTGCCCACTTTGCCCGTCAATTTTTTAAGCCACCTGAATTTCAGGGTGCCCACTTTGCCCCCAGGAGCCCACGTCGGGGATAACACATCTAACACAATCATTGTGGTCAGCAATAAGTTTCGAAATAATTTTACTTACCGCGTGGTTTGTTGCATTCCATTGTTGCAAAATATAGATAATCCCCACAGATGAATAAAACCTCACTAACCAATAGGTGAGCCGACAAATATTTCTCGATTGATGAACATTCCTCGAGATACCACTCACTAACAAGATCTCGTTCACACACGATTCGTGTAAATACAATAGAAAATTAAATAAAACACAATTTTACGAATTACAATCTCAAGTCGCGAAGTAGATTCACGCGCGATTCACTCTGTAGTCGGAATGAAACTGGGTGTGCACTGAACTGACTTCAGCCACGCGGTCACTATCGCTTTTGCGATAAGATCGTTCAACGCAACAACAAAAACATGTTTACATACAAACATTGGTATTCACTAGTAAAGTATCTTTGACGCGCAACCTTAGCGCCATCTCATGGCTCATTTTTTAAATAGTGCTTCAGCTGAAACCTTTCCCAGCGTATAGTGTAGGCAAGAGTAGAAAATAGAAACGTCCGTATCACACCGAAAAACTGATTTTGCCTATTTAGCAGGAACATTGCTGCTGAATATTGAGAAAATATATTTGATTTAACAAATTAATGCCTCTTAAATTTATATAATTTTTTTCTTCCTCCTCTTATTTTTTAGCCTTACTAGTTTTAAATTTCTAAATCAAATTAATTAAACCTCAACAAACTTTCTTTTACATAAATATCATTTTTTATTTAATAAAATTACATCTTTTAGTTTTTATCATATCGTTAAAGCCTTTATATAATCACATGTTAATAATATTTGTAGTAAGATGGATGAGCAGCGTGGCCTAAATATTGAACATCAGCATTGAATCCATTGTGCTTATCAGCGGTGTAGTGAACAATGCGAGTACGACCATCGGGTTGAACAAGCTTATAATGCCCCTTGACAACATCTCCATCACGATGTTCCTCTTGAGATTTGATGTCGTGTGTGTGAGGATCCTCAACACCGTATTTGTAGGCATATTGTGGATAATGGTAGCCATCATAATGGTCATCGTGATGATCATAGTATCCGCCGTTGTATCCACCATAGTATCCATTGTAATCGTCTCCTAAACCCAAACCATATCCGTTTCCGTATCCATAACCATAACCCGCGTACGCAGATCCATACTGTGGTAAGTAATCATGATGATAGTCGCCATAATGATCATGGTGTTGGGTTACAGAAGCATACGAAGTGGCGTGGGGTGCAGCTAGGGCACAGCCAACGAGGGCAGCAAGAGCACAAATCTAAATAATTAACAATAAACATGTGATACATTATTATATGTAATAATAATTAATATTAAACTAAGTTTTTACCTTAAAGTACATCTTTAGGTTTTGATTCGTATTGTTTCACGTTTTGACAGGTGAATGATCATTGGGCACTCTCTGAATCTTTTATAGTTGTTATAATTTCCACCTCCAAGTAAACACACCACTTAATGCAAATTAATTATTGCGTTCTATATTGGGTGCACTGGACTTGTACTTGACTCTCAAGAATTTGTTGCTACATAGTCTTAGCGCATTACGTAGGCAATTTTGCAAGTAACCGCAATGGACATTACGTACAGATGTCGTAATTGGGCATTGATTTTGTACTAAATTCCTGTGTATTGTTTATTCGAATGGCCGATTGCAGATTAATGTGTAAAATTATTTTAATCCTTCAAGGTCATCTAGATATTTGCTACTAAAATTAGTACAGGCGTTATGCACTAATTATTTCATTATGAATGCATATTTACTTGGCATTTGTATGTAAAATTATGGAAAATAGTAACTATTTTAATAAAGTTTTTCAGAAAAAGTTTCATTTTAATATTTTCAATTTTCTATGATTCCGAGAAAAACTTATAATATTAACATAACTTTTAATTGTTTGGTACGTTTCCAATAGAAATACTTGTTTAATAATAATTTAATTATTTCATAACAATGCATGGAATTAGGAGTATAACAAAATTAAGCAGGTGCCAAGATGCGAGAAACCAGTACCAGAATTGCACTTTCAAATTAGGAGAATCTATTAATTAATATTAAGTATTTATTTAAGTATTGTCAAAACATAGTAAAACTAGAATTTAACAAAAGTATTTAATGTACCAGAATGTCAAATATACAAATGATAAATTAATTCCTTATATTAATTCATTTATATTGAGCATAGTACCTCCAAAATGCTTCCAGTATTTCAAGTATACAAGGGTAATTATTCGTTGTTCGTATGGAAGAAGTGTCACACCAAAATACTTGGTGAGTCATATCGTGAGGCAATTTTTAATTGTTAGCTCCAATTGACATCTTTAATAGTTGAAATAGGTATTTATATTGATTCCTGATTAATTAATATATGCGTTATTTCAGTTGATATAGAATAAGTTTATTGAATTCTAATGCTTTTATATAGAAATAAGTTACATTCTTTTTATATTATCACATGACAGCTTGGTTTAATAATAGTGATGGTATGTGGGGTGTTCGGCATGACCAGAGTATTGTACATCTGCATTGAAACCATTATGGTCATCAGCGGTGTAGTGAACAATGCGAATGCGACCATCGGGTTGGACCAGTTTGTAATGTCCTTTGACTACATCCCCATCACGATGTTCCTCTTGAGATTTGATGTCGTGAGTGTGTGGATCTTCAACACCGTATTTGTAGGCATATTGTGGGTGTGCGTAGTAGTCATGGTGGTCATCATGATGCCCGTAATAATCAGCATAGTGTCCGTTGTAAAGACCGTCGTTATTATCAATACCATATCCATTTACAAAACCAGCATTATATGGATAGTAATGATCATTATAATCGTCGTGATTGTTATAATGTTGTTTAACAGATGCATAAGATGTGGCATGTGGGACAGCAATACCGCAACCAATAATTGTTGCAAAAACGAAAACCTAGATAAACGAAAGATATTTAGTAAATATGCTAATAAACTTAAATTGGTAGTACCTTAAAAACATGTTTGCGTTGTTCTTTATGATGATATCACTACTTGAAATGTGAATGATAAACCAAACACATTATTTATCCTTTTATAGTTCTTTCAATTGCCACCACTATAAGTTATTTTAAAGTATCTATGGTATGTAGTATACATTCACTTGGTTTGTACTTGACTTTCAAGAATTTCTTACAAAATATTGTAATTGAAATTTGCACGCCTTACCAACACTATATTTTTGTGAAATGCAAATCAAAGTTTGTAACGACATTATTTAATTACTGCATCAAAAATTAATATAGTAAATTGACAAATTCAGCATGCATAGAAAAATTGTTTCTTGAACTACAATAATGCCGCAAAACCATTTCAAACAAGTGATTTAATTCATTAGATATGAAGCATTTTCAACACCATGTTTTCAAATTAGTAGAAAACTAGCGCATTCAAATAGGTAAGGCACTTCTAAAGGGTTTTAAAGATTGTAAAAGTATGCTTAGTGTAAAATGACTCTTGAACTACATTATAACGATGAGAACCTCTAAATAAATATACGATTTTACTAAATACAGGGAGTTTTCCACACCATATTTTTACAATTGTATGAAAATACAAAATTTTAATGTACATTTCAGGCACTTCTAGAGGGTTTGAAGGGATGGACGGATTTTTATTTTGCCATAAAATAGTGAAGCAATTTCCCATACTAACCCGTCTATTTATTATTAATATTAATCGTTAAATTAGAACAATTATTAAAAACTACAGGTAATCTAGCTGGAATAATCACATTTGGTTCATTTGGAGTAAATTCAGTTTGCTCTTCTTCACCTGAACTACTCTCTTCATAATTAATAGTATCTTTCATTTTGTTGTTGTATGATTTATTTGTTTTAAAGGGCTGTCACTCCAATCAGCTCCATAGTCCTCAGCTACCGAAGAAGGTTTCCAATCATGCTTTTGTAAACTGATTATATCCTCCTCTTCATCAGCATCTACTAATATTGTAGCTGAGGATCTTCGAAAGCTATGGCCAGTGTATTTTTCAGGATTGGGCAAATTGAGAAAACAAGCAATATCTTTGCCCATTCTGGAAAATGTACTTAAACCAATTCTTTTATTTGTAAACTTCATATTCTTGTATTGATGAAACAGTCTTATATTAGTAGAATCAGTTCTATTACTCATATACTTCTTGCAGATATTATAAAATGAGTCTTTAAGAGTAAACTGCCTAGGTCTCCTTGTTTTGGCATTTGGAACACTAACAATCATTTGTGAACCTACATCTTCAATATCACTCAATTTCATATTATAGAGTTCATTGGATCGACATGCTCCCATGACTCCCATTATTAAAGCAACCTAAAAATATACTCACTTATTTAATGCTTTTAAAGCATTGTTTAAAACTTACTTTTGTTGGAAGATATTTAAGATCTGGTGCTGTACTTAGGAATTTCTTTATTTGTTCTGTGGTGAAGGTATTTACTTTTTAGGAGTGAATCCTTTTGATTGCTGTTTTAAATATGCAATTAGATTTGGATACTGGTCAATTTTCACATTCTCTTGAATGTTTAAAGTACTTTTAACATTGAATAGTATGACCAAAGTGATGATGGCTTGTGTTTAGATGCCAGTTCAGTAAAATATATTAGTAATACAGACTCTGATGCTTGCATAGTATTGTTTTCAATTTGCCACCTTTTAAAAGCATCATATGCTACTAAATAGAGTTTCTTGGATTGATCTGGCAATAAGTTTGCAGAGGTAGTAGCAGCCACTTCTCGAATCTCCGGTGGTACATTTGGTGGTTTAATCGGCTGAATATCAATATCGTCTACTTTAATCATCACAGCTAAATAAATAATTAAACAACACCAAGTTTTACCCACAACAAACACAATAACTAAAATTGACTTTTACAGGTTATAAATTATACAGGTACGAGACGAGTACAACGACTATGACAACTAAACAGCTGACTTCGTTTAAAGACTACCAAGTTTTTAAATTTTAAAGCATGCAAAGAGAAAGAGTCGAGGAGCAAACATTTTACAATATGATATGATATGAATTTAATTTTGGAATGTTTTAATATGATTAACATTGGTAAAATATATTCATAATATATTTTAATTTACAGAATGAATTCAGTTTCATCAGTTGAAGAATTACAGTTCGACCTGATTCCCCATCTTGATTATCAGAATTTGTTGCAGTGTTGGTGGCATTTGCTGTGTCCTCCTCCAAATTACATATTACTAAAATCATAGCTGTTTTTCCTATTCTCAACTTTAATTAATTTGATTACTCAAGAAAAACAAAGAAACATGTTTCCATTTCAAAAATAAATATATTTATAAGGCCTAGAACTTTCGCGTTTTGTCACAACCAGCTTTATACAGATAAATACATAATATATCACTGAATATCAATTAATAATATTTATAATAAGTTGGATGTTCGGCATGACCAGAATATTGCACGTCCGCATTGAAACCATTGTGGTCATCAGCGGTGTAGTGCACAATGCGAATACGACCATCAGGTTGAACCAGCTTGTAATGTCCCTTGACAACATCGCCATCACGATGTTCTTCTTGAGATTTGATATCATGTGTATGAGGGTCTTCAACACCATATTTGAAAACGTATTCCGGATGATGATGATAGTCCTCGTGGTCATCATGATGATAATACTTAGCATAGTGTCCATCGTCTCCACCATAAACATCACCAAGGCCTAGGCCATATCCATTGCCATATCCAGAATATGATGAAGCATAATGTGGCTCATAATAACCATGGTGATTGTCGTGATGTTGAGTTACCGAAGCATAAGAAGTTGCGTGCGGTAATGCTAACGCACAGCCAGCAATGGCGGCAAAAATGTAAATCTAAAAATTAAAAGAATTTAAAGTGAATCATAGATATAACTTATTCTTGATATTAACATACCTTAGTAAACATTTTGCGTTGGATAAGAGTTTGTTATTCTTGATCACTATGAATTGTGAATGATATGACTAAAAATAATTTTGCTTTTATAGTAGTAGCCTACCACCTAAAATTTAATTTGGTGTCCAGTAATAATTGAAAGTGTTAAAATCTATAAGGACGCCGACAAGTTTATTGTTACAAAATTCTTCATAGTTACAGTCAATAATTATGAAATATTAAACACTAAAAATGCTTAAATTAAACTGCAAACATGGCAAAAATGTAATTCAAGGTTACAAGTTATGCTCTATTTATTATGCCGTGTACGTATATCGAAACATGCAGAAATTCATAACAAATTGATTCATTCAATTGTTTCTTTTACTTTTTATCAGAAAAATAATGAACATCAATTAAATTGATAGGTTTTCTGGTTGAATTCGTATGGATGCTCACGGTTACCGCAACAGAAGACTCCGGAGTTGTCGAATTTAATTTGATCACAACATGATGATTAGTTCTATCTGGTACCGCTTTATCATCATTGGAATTTAATTCTGTTGGTTTAGTAGTGCTGGAAGTAGAGCCATCTTGTTGTTGAATTTGTGGAACAACTTGTAAAGATTCTTGCATAGCTGCGACTTCATCTGGCCACACCACAGACTCAATCCAAGGAATGTATTTTTCTACTCTTGTATAGACTCCAGGTGCTTTGGTATATCCACACAGTTTACCAAATGATGTAACTCCAGATACAATATAACCCTTATAACGATTATACCTAATATCATCGTTGGTTCTTGATAATGGTCCACCAGAATCGCCCTGAAACAATAAATCAATATAACAATTATTAAAAAAACTTTTTTGTGTTTTATTACTTGGCAAGTATCTTTCTTTTCCGTATATTTTGCTCCTGCACACATCTGAGAATCTACTAATCCCATAGCTAATTTTCTTCGATTCATAGGATATGCTTTACTGCATCTGTCAAAATCATACTGAACAAGTCCTACTTCCTGCATATGACTTGCTCTGTTTCCTTCAGTGTCAATAAATCCCCAGCCTGTAGCATAAAACTTTGTTAGATTTACTTCGGAAGATAACTGTCCATAATCCAAACAAGCAGGTTGAACGTATGGGGTGAAGTTGGCTGGTCGGAAAAGATGCAAGATGGCGATATCATGGTAAGTACTTGAAGTTTTATACTGCGGGTGTACTGTTACATTCTGGATATAATGGTACTGTGGTTCGGCTATATCTGTAGTACTGTTGATATCAAGATCGCCGAGGAGTACATATCGAACTGGACCACTAAAATTTATTTATATGAAAAATGTAGTTGATATTAATTTTAATGTAATTTATTACTCTTGGAGTGAGTATAAGCAATGAGCGGCTGTCAAAACATGTCTGTCACTTATAAGTGATCCACCACATTGGAATTTTATATCGCTCACATTTGCTCCGTACCCTAAAGCAGCCTAAAATACATTATATTGATTTGGTTTTTATTGAATTAACCTATCTCATATTAAAAATAAGTGAATATTACGAGTAACAAACCATAAATGTGAATTCTTTGTCTCGTGCATTTGTACCTCCAAGAACATATCCATGTAATTTCCAATCAATATTATTCATATACTTATTACATGCTACAAAAAAGTTGTTAAGTTGATATAATTTTAAATTGACTTTAATTCACCTTGTTTAGCTACTCTTCCATAACTAATCTCTTTAAAATCCTGTGAGGTAGATTCACAACAATAACCCGGAGATTCCTGAGTACCACATAATGGATCATCACCTTGTTCTCGCAATTCTGGACAAAACTCAAATCCGACGCAACGACCTTCGACGCCACTCTTCAATTTACACGTCTCTAATAATACGTGGAATATTATAACACAGATTAAATATAAATAATAGTAAACTCACTTGCATTTCTCCATCTATTAAGATCGAAATTCGAAGAACATATAATCCCATTGTACAAACATGAAACCACACAAAACAGGAGCAGGTAATACATGATTTAAACCGTGAGACAAATAATAAGCTACTGACTACTCGTATAATCCAGACGAAACATTTGTGTAGTGCTAAACGCTGGGAGGAGAAGATACTTGTTGATGCAAATTAAATTTTAGTTGGTTAAAAATTATAATTACTGTAATAAACAAAGTTAATCTGGCATATCTCACTATAAATCTCAGTCATTAATTTAATTAATAACAGGTTCGAAAACATCGTACAGCCAATTTTAAGTCAGTATTAAATTAGTAGGTTTTTGGTATGTGAAATACCATGTGTGATACTATGTGAAATATGTGATTTTATTTGGCGTTGAAAACCAGAATAAGGCAAACACTTTACCAGTAAGCAAATGCGTCATTCGTGTTATTGAGTGTTTAATATTTCCGTTTTATTCATAAGAAAACAAATTCTACTCTTGTTGTGTTTATTTAAATTACTTATATTAAATATTCGGAGAATAAATATTAACATTGAATTGACAAAAGTATTATATTCGTTACAAAACAAAAATAAACATTAAGCCTTAATTCGTATTAAGATTTTCACACAAAGTGTTTCAATATATACCTAAATCTAATCGGATTAAGGGAGTGCCCGTACCGGCACTCCTTAATTACCTTTATTACCTGCACCGGTTTGTCTCTAATCTAATATTACACAGGTTTAAAGTCACTACCCCCACTCCTTTTACCCCCACATAAAACCTCCGCACCACCCACATAAATTACGCAATCTTATCTCGAAATTCATCATATCTGTTCAAACCAGATAAAGCATCAAACGTCATCTACACCTTGCCATAAATCAACAATGGAAGCTTTGAAAGCCTTGAACGACAAAATCCTTGCTGACTTCGAGTGTGTTGTATGCACAGAATACATGCACCCACCAATCATTCAATGCATCGAAGGACACAGTGTGTGCAACGAGTGCTACAAGAAATTGGGAAGCTGTCCAACTTGCCGCCAAAAGTTCAACACCGAATGCAGACCGCTGGTCCTGGAACGACTTCACAACAAGATCAAATTTCCATGCAAATACCGTGAGAGCGGATGCCAAGAAGAACAATATGGGTTTGATATACAGAAACATCAAATCGACTGTGAATTTGCGCCACCGAAGAGCGAGACACCTCCACCATCGGCGAACAGAAATTACGAACATCAAGTATACACCTACCTATCAATGTTGGAAGAGTTAGCTGACTTATATATTGACTAGAAATGTATTTGAAATTAGTTTAATGTACGGTAATTGTAAGGAAAACAAAATTAATATGGCTTATTGTATATATTTCAAAATAGTGAATTTTGCATTTAATAAATAAATATTCTTCAAAAGATCAAATGAGGCCTAATTTTTACATTCATATTTCAGTTCTAGTAGTATTTGTGGTAAGTAGGGTGTTCCGCATGTCCCAAATATTGCACGTCTGCGTTGAAACCATTGTGTTTATCAGCGGTGTAGTGAACAACGCGGATACGACCATCGGGTTGAACCAACTTGTAATGACCTTTGACTACATCACCATCACGATGTTCCTCCTGAGATTTAATGTCATGAGTGTGGTAGTCTTCAACGCCATACTTGAATGCATATTGTGGATGATGATAGTATTCATGGTGGTCATCATGATGATCATAGTGTTCATCGTTGTCGTTGTAGCTTGAATATACTGGGGCATAAAGAGGGTAGTGATTTACTTCATGGATGTCATCATGATGCTCGTCGTAATCGTGATGGTCATAGTGATGATCAACATGGTGATCATCATGGTATTGAGTCATGGATGCATAGGAAGTTGCATATGGTTTGGCTAAAACACCGGCGACGATTGCGCTGAGGAGAAGAATCTGAAAATTAAATAATTTTGTTAAAAGTTTTAAAGTTTTTTTTTTTTCGATTTAATTTACTTGTTTGAACATTTTGCTTGTTGATTGTTGTTCTTCAATGTACTGAATTGAACTGTGCCTTTACTATCAACAAACTTGATATTTATACTAAAATAAACATAAACAAATTGCAATGAATTGTATTACAATTGTTAATTAAATGTTGTTAAAGACATTAAATGGTATCATATCCGTTATTTCAATACTGTATCAATACTCAAAAAGTACAATTTTACCATTTCTTAAACGACTGTTACATTACTTTTTAATAAATGTTTAAAATCGCAAAATATGAACATTAACACATTTATGCAACACAATAATAAATTAGTAACTCAGTTTAAAAATTCCTGTGCCAATTTCTTAAGGCTTACGTCTATCCACGTAAACAATAGCAGAAATATTACAACAATAAAATATTACTTACAAATTTACTCTTAATTAAAAATATAATATTAAGAATTAATAAAAATAATTGTAAAACTTGTAAAATATATTTATTAAATCAAGGCTACGTTGAGAATACGATTACTCCATAGATTCACAACATTCAAAAATTATTTGGCAATTAACACCAAATATTTTATTTAATTTTAGTTTCAAGTTACATTTCTAGTGCATTTTTTCCAAGTATAAAAAGACAATCGACTTTGTTTCCAAGCACAGTCGAACTATCTACTTCATAGTAACAACAACTAAAATACAAAAACAATAATAAAATGATTTCTAAAGTAAGTTAAATGCAATACAATAACTGTATTTAAATTAATTATTATCTTCAATTTTCAGATCTTGGTTGTAGCAGCCGTTATTGGTTGTTCTGTGGCTTTACCTTATGCAACTTCATATGCATCCGTAAGCCAACATCACGACGACCATCATGGCGGCCATTACAATCATCACAACGACTACGATTTACATGATTATCATCACCAAAATAACGGCTATAAGAATCATGTAGAGCATGTATATCATAAACATGACAACCATTATGATCATCACGACTACCACCATGATAATCACTATGATCATCACGACTACAATGCTCATGATGACCATCATGAGAAGTACCATCATCCCAAATACGCTTTCAAATATGGCGTTGAAGATGCTCATACCACGACATGAAATCTCAGGAAGAGCATCGTGATGGAGATGTTGTCAAGGGTCATTACAAGGTTGTGCAACCCGATGGACGTACTCGCATTGTTCACTACACAGCTGATGAACACAATGGTTTTAATGCCGAAGTGACTTATTCCGGACATGCTAATCATGATCATCATCACTACAACAAATATTACTAACTTTAGAAGAAGAAAAAACAACCAGTTGAAATGTACAGATTGTATATATTTATTTATATTTAAAATAAACTATTCTTGGCATTATATCTAGTAGTATCTTTATTAATTATAGTCACAAGTAGTCACAAATATGCTTTACAATTTTAGTTTCAGTTTACAATGTTCCAGCAGCTCTTTGATATTCCAACGCTCTCAAGATGGCGGCTGGGATTGGTGGTGGTGTTGGGATATGTGCACCTTCCGGTACAAAACCATTTTCATCAGCAGTGTACCTCACAGTATAAACAACATTATCTGGGCCAGTGTAAGTGTAGAATCCGTGGGCGCGCATACCTTCATCATCAGTACCAACATTAGCGAGTTTGCCTTGCTCTTCAGCTTCAATACCATTTTCAGTTTCATACAAGTAGTGGTAACCATCTTGCTCAACTTTTTCAACCTTTTTCAGGATTCTGTATTGGTTGTTTTCGTATTTATCACCAAAACCATTACCAGAAGCAAATTGATTACCATTGTTAGAAAAGTGTCCAGGTACTTTTCCAGGGATGTTTGGTTTGCCCGGTAACTTTCCGGGTTTGTTAGGATGTGGCTGCTTGCCTGGGTTTTGCGGCTTTCCATAAACATCACCAGCACTCAAGATAGTAGAACCTCCGTTTGCTCCCGCACCGGAATTGACATTGGAACCAGTACCAAAACCAGTACCAGAACCGCCATTGTACTGTCCACCATTACCGCCATTTCCAAATCCACCATTTCCGCCATTGTTATTACCACCATTTCCAAATTTATCAGCTTGATGTTTGTATTTATCGTCTTGGTGTTTGTACTTGTCGTCATTGTGTACGTAGGCACCAGCATTATCGGGACGGTACTTACCGTCATTGTTATTGTAAGCACCGGAATTATCAGGAGTATATCTACCGTCATTAGCTCCACGGTATGCACCGGAGTTGTCAGGCTTGTAGACAAAAACGGCTTTGTGTGGAGGTTGAAAACCTCAAAACTACCACCCGGGCGAAGAGCCCCGAGGAATTGACTGCAAGTCAAGCCCAAAATGGCCGCGAGCACAATCAAACACTAAAATCACAGTTAAAATAATCTCCAAAACATTATTTTATACCAAACCTACCTTCATACTTATCACAACCTGCGTTGACTTGTAGAATGAAGAAATCAAATCACAATGAAACGATGAGCCAAACTTCCTTTATATATGAATCCCGAAAATGGCCATTATTACTTTTATTCAATTCTCATTGGTCTTCCTTTTAGTGGTCGTTATACCAAAGCACCTCAGTTGACAAATTTTAATTGATTTACAATACACATTCTGAATAATGCCAACTTTAAACTTGATATCTACTCAAAAAGGAATCCGGCTTTTATGTTAAACAGATGGACACTCTGTAGTTCTCAAACATTTTTTCGCTAAACCCTCAAGCAATTATAATCGTATGTATTATAGATTTATGTAAATATGTTGGGCATCACTGAATATTAAATTTTGTATTAAGCATAAGTTGGTAAGGTTCATCTAGATGAGTCGAGGATGCGCAGCTGGAACCGCCTCCTACTAAGTTAAACATATCCTGGCGTGACGGGTCATTAAAATGGCCAAAATCAAAAACATTTTTAGGAAAATTTTGAATAATAAATTGATAAATATCGCGATTTACATATTTTTCTATGGGATGAACTTTAAAATCTAATAATACTATAACAATAAACTAAAGCACGTGTATTGTTTAATTTTGATTCTAGGATAACATCTCAATGTTAACAAATATATTAAAATTAATTAGTCACTGAAATAAAAGATTAAAAAATGTTATTTTTTATGAAAACGTAATTTAATACAAAGTATCAAATTTTATTTATTAAAGTAGCTTTAATTTTGACATTTGACAGCTTCTTACATAAAAGTGAACGTAGTTTGATGCACTTTATTGACATTACTAAACAATCGATTGTGGAAGAGTTTCAATAAGAATTGCATTTAGGTTTACATCTACTCAACAAGAATGTCAAGAAAATCAATAGATGCTGTGATTAAAACTAGTAGAATGTGAAGATGATATGAGCGGTTCAACAACCTCGATTATAAAAAATGTTAATACTAGTTGGTGTATGTGCCGATGATTAATGATTGCTTAGTATGCAGATTGTAATGGTGAAGCTTGTTTGATGAGAATACCTAACATTTTCGTTGATAGTCATTCGATAATAAAATGTAGAGAATTCAGTGTTTAGCACAAAATCACAAAATTTTAAAAATTTCAAATGTTTCTAGAAGTTTAGGAAACAACGTATTATGTCAATCAACACATTTAATTAACATTTTTACCAATAGATTCTATCAATACGCAATGGATGGAAAGATAAAATCTGACATTGATATTGAAAATTGAAGTCTTTAAATATCACGCATCATTAATTATCTGAATAATGACGATGCGATGTTAATTGAGCATATCTGGTAGCTTGTTCTTCTTGAAGCTATGTTGAGCAATGCAAAAGCAATTACTAAATAAGTGCTTCTTAGTGCTTGTAGGCTTTCTGTCAAGGTTCTTCAGTGTATATAGTTTAAAATGTGTAAAATCATTTATAACCAGTGGCGTAGCTACATATATTGGACTTTCTATCGCTTTGGATAACTTTTATAATATGTATTATAGTTTACAGTGGCAAAATGACATTAAAAGTTTCAGTTGTAAATTTGAACATTACTGAACATAGTCGTATGTGCCCATAACTGAAAGACTCGTCAGCAATTTGCCACAATTTTTCTTGTAGTTAAATGTGTAAAAACAAAAAAATCCGCTGAAGTTTGCATTTTTGCAATATTTAATTCAGTTCACATATCTAAAACATAGAAGCAAATGCCATACATACGTTTACTTAATTACAACATTTTCACCGTTAGAGGGCACTCACGGCACCCAAAGCGTTCTTAATATATTCTAGCTACGCCACTGTGTATTACAATAATGCCTGAAGCAAAATAAATCTATAAATGGTCTAGCTTCTTCTTGGACTTATTTATTAATGTATTTATTGGTGCATTACCAAACAAGGTTCATATTCAAACGATCTGTATGCATAAATATTTCATAATCTATAATCAGTTAATTAAACATTTCAAAAACATATAATTTAAATGCCATCTTCTTTTGTGGCGCATTCTTCAACATCACTTCCGTAT